ACGGAGCTGCTATGACAGAGACGCTCGGCCAGGATCTGACCGGCGGCGCTCTCTCTCTCCTCACCACTCGGCCATGCTGCTTCGTCAGCGTCTCCCTCCACTGCTCCCCCTGCGGCTGAAGTGCTTCCTTCACTTTTCCTCGGATCCCCGCTGCCTCTGCCCGGGAGAGCAGCGGTGATCCAGAGGAGAAGTTGCAGGGTGAGTCCCCTTGTGTGCGTGGCCGAGCGGCGGAGGATCGGTACATATCAGTGATATGTACCAATCCTCTGTGCAGGACAAACACTGGAGCGATCAGCTGATCACTCCAGTGTTTGTAAATAACTGGGGACACATAGTACTATGTGCCTCCAGTTATGAATGAACAGGATGTGATTTACATCACTTCCTGTTTATTCATGAGTTTCTCAATGGGGAGAAGCACTCACTACAGAGGCTCCTCCCCACTCAGAAACTGGTGATAGTAAATATTGATAGTGATAGAAGCCTCTGTGCTTTCCATTCATTTAGAACAGAGGCTGCAGAAAAAGAGATTTGAGGACTTTGTTTCCTCAATTTCTTTTTCTATTTTAAAAGTGAAATATCAGGGGGCTGTTTAGACCCCTAATATTTCCCCAAAGCACCCCAACAGTAAAAAAAAAAAAAGTGAATTAAACAATAAGAAATAATAAAAAATAAATGAAAAATAGTAAAAAAAAGAAAATCCTGGAGGCAGGGCGCTGGGTGACGTCACACGTTTTTTTTCTTGCCTGGGGCGCAAAAGGAGCTGGCTAAAGCTATGCTCCCGCAGTGCTCATGCGGCTGCTGGCTGAATGTGTTAGACGCCACAAATGGAAAGGGGCGGGACTCCTCTCCCCGTGTGCAACCTCGGCCACATGAGCACCGTGGGAGGGCAGGATACAGCACCTCCTAGGATGCACTGGAATGTAAGCTGGCCGACTCCCTGCGTTCAGGAGCGGGAGGGGGCGTGGGGTTGTATTAAAGTCAATGGCACGGCAGCCATTGACATTAGTGCCTGCATTCCAGTGGTCCAGTGCGATCTGCAAAAATACGGCTTGCAGTATTTGTGCAGATCACACTGGACCGGAACGCAGGCACTAATGTGCATGCGTTGCGGGCGAGGGGTGTGGCTGCAGTGCCATTGACTTCAATTCACCGCCACGCCCCCTCCCAACCCTGAATGCAGGTTTTTTTTGTTGGCAGATCTCATTGAGCTCGTCATTTGAAAAGTAGATCTCCAGACAAAAAATTGTGGGCGCCCCTGATCTAGTCCATCTAACACTACCATTCCCCATAGGGTGACAATGCTGCTGTCCAATGTTGATTTGATCCTCTATAGATACAGTGCAGCTACTTTAAGACAGGAAATGTGTTACTCGCCCAGATCATCAGGTGAAAATAAAGGAAAGAAACAAACAGAAAACGAATGCAGCCACCACATTTAAAGGAATAAAATCCATTACCATTACAGGTTGCTTTACATATTAAAATGTTGTCCATTTCATTTTTTAAAATGATGCTTACTCTAATAACGCTACTGCAGTGAGCACCCCGTCCCCATCCCAACGACATGGCAGGGTGGACAAACCTAACGCCTCATGAATGAGCACTCGGCTTGGAGAACTCGGCTTGGCTAACCACAAATGCACAGTCCTCCTTCTCTCTCAAAATGCTCTGCCACTGCTGTGAGAGAAAGTGGAATGCACATGTGTGGTTAGCAAGCCAGTTCTCCTAGCCGAGTTCTTGTTCTGGTCCAAAAACAAACCAAGGGACCCAGTTATAAAAAATAAACAGGGTATTTTGACAAGTACTTGTACTTGTCAAAATGCCCCGATGCCTAGCGCCGAAGCTTGCGCTATGATTTTTTTCTTCTTGCTTACCTCGCCAAGCGTCGCGTCACTGCTGCTCCGGTGGGCGGCGCTCCGAGCGGGGCCATCTGGCAGTCTCCGGGTCCTAATTTAGGTGGCCGGAGACTGCCAGATGACCGCGCTCGGAGCGCCGCCCACCGGACCATAGTACATAACATGTAGTTGTACTATGGATCATTTAAAGTCACCTGTCCCTTTAAGAAAAAGTATCGGTAATTGGTATCGGCAAGTACATGAGGGGATGTACTTGTACTTGGGCCTGAAAAAGTGGCATCGGGACATCCCTAATAGGGATAACAGTGGTTACATTTATATGCTCATGCCCTCCGGTGTTCTCTTGAATTGTAACATTGTCAGGGTTATTCACTAAATGGTGAAGAGTTTGTAGAAGGCAGGAGAAGTGAACAATCTAGGACAACAGCTGATTTGGAAAAGTTCTCCAATTCAGCTCACTTTCCAGTTTAGCTATGTTGTCCTAGATTGTTCACTTCTTCTGCCTTCTCCAAACTCTTCACCCTTTTGTGAATAACTATGTGTATGTTGTTACTAACATGTATTTATTTCCTTTGATCCTCAGCTTCATCTAGAAGCCATAAAGCGGTATTTTCCCTACTCACTCTGTTCTGTATGAATAAACCTATTGAACATTCGACGATGAAATTAACCAAAAACCTTTGTTTTTGCCCCATTCTCCCAACAGCTGGTTCCATCGGACCAGCTCTGTGCCTTGTGACAGCTGTGATTGGTTATCTTAGCGATCACATGGCAATATTTACCCTCCAGGAGGGTAAAGTAAACGAATAAATTAATTTGCCGTTCATGACTTCCTAGTTAAAACAAGCTACACCAGCGGCAAAAAGTATATTACAATTTTTAACCCTTTCACCCTGTCTCCTCTACAGTATATGTCGGCTTCATTCTATCAATGCTCTGACCTGTATGTTAACCCAATTACCTCTTTTATGCTGCACATCTGTACATTAGCCCCTTCATCACCATCCTCCCACTGTATGTGTCCTATACATTAATGCCTTCACTTCCTCCCTCTGTGTATTACCTGTACATTTAATGTATCTTGTGCACCATTACCAAGCTCCTTGTTTTAACCTCTTCAATGCCAGCATGTTTCTTCAGTTACAAAAAATTGTGGCAAAAACTAGGATCACCTTGGGGTGTATACTTTCCTAAAAGGGCTAAATTTGTTTTATTTTGTATTATCCTGGCATTTTTATTTGTT